ATTTCCACTTTATTTTCGCTTTCTAGCCCACATGTGATAACGTCCTAAGAAGGCCCTGTGTCCTCATCAAATGTGGTTATGTTAAAGCCTGAGCAGGCTCATATAGGTAAGTACATTGCCAGAATAATGTTTGACACAACTTTAAGTGCTGTAGCTCCATCCTATGAAACCCTGGGGTTGTAGAGTGCTAGTGCCTCAAAATAACTACAAATCTCAGGATTCTGTAGGATGGAGCCATGGCAATTAAAGTGAAGTGAAACTATATTATTTCTACAGTACAGATACACCCACAGTCATTCAGATTCCAGTTTAAATCACAGAATTAGGTGTTGTCTGGTCAATCCCATAGGCAAGGTGTTCAATTAAAATTGCCAACAAACCCTGACCATTTTCCAATAATGGAGTCCAATAATTTCTCAAGAATCACAGATTCCCTACCTCTGTTGTAGGACTTGGACAGAGAAGATAGGACCTGACCGATTTGATCCAAATGACAAGGAAGGAGATACCAATTGAACAGTAGGAAGAAGGGTCTGCTTCTCCCACATCTACTGTAAGTGAATGTCTGACTGATGACACAAGGATCAGACAAGTGCAGACAATGTAAAAGTTTTACAGAGGGACAGATACTTTAATATTTCAGCATTACCTTGAGATCCTTCCGCTGCTTCAGTGCAAAGCAGTCATTAATAAAAGTTTTATACAATATGGAGATGTAATGAAACCCATTCAGTCTTGAAGTCTATTCACTGGCCCCAGGGCAGCATTAACCATGTGAGAAGCACTTCTCTTTCTCAGGGAATATACTCTTATATTTCATCAAAAACCAGGATCAAGAAGTGCAATTGGACCCTTTGAAGGTGTTTTTAAAAAAAAAAAAGAAAAGGGGGGGACCAACAGTTGTTGATTAAAATTGGGATTCAAATATCCACCTTGAACACCACTTAAAGTTAGTCCCCATTACAAGTCCCTGAACCAATCTTCCAGATATAATGATTGTTACACACAGCTGCACTTTCTTGATTGAATTCTGCAATAT